AAAAATTAAAAAATTAAAAATAATCAAACATTATTAAAAATCAAATACTCTAAAAAATTATTTTATTCTCTGTATTTTAAGAATACTTCATCTATGGTTTCCCTTATGATAAACATATTTTTAATTAAATGTATTTGTACATAAACCTACTGAAAAAATAACAGCAATTTTTTCCTTTCTCCTGCAGTGTAATCCTTACTGACCGTTAACCATCGCCTGACCCACTGTTTCTTCCGGTGAGGTAGTTGGGGATTTTAGTCCTAAATTGTTATGTTTTTTAAATGAAGCATGATTATATGGACTTTACTGCCTGTTTTATTGGTTTGCTTGCTCACCAGTCTATGCCCTTCTTCAATCATTTTACCTTGCCAGATCACAAGTTTAAATAGTTATTTTACAGAGGGCCTGAGGATGATTATGTTTCTGAGTCTGAGCATATTAGTTAATGTCTTGTTTTATACTCACCTTTAAATGTTCCTGTGGTTGGCTATCAGATATTAGGTTCAAAATCAATATCCCTCAGAATTTGAAGTTTTGCCCCACTTAGTGTCTCCTATTGTTAAGTCTAATGCAAACTTAATTCTCATTTCTGTCTCTCTCTCTTTTTTTCACTTCGTAGACATTTGGGATTTTTTTTCTTTATCCATGGTGTTCTCAATTTGTTATTTTATGTTTAGTTTTATTCATTCAATAAATATTCACTGGGGACCTACTATGTGCCAAGCACTGTTTTATATATTAGGGATATAACAGTGAAGAGACAAAACTATACATCTTACATTATTTAATTCACTGGTCATTTGACGGTGCCTTTGAATTAGTGTTGTACTTCACTTTGAAATGTTTTGTAAATAATTTATTTGATTTATCTTCCATTTTACCCTCTCTATTCTATGTGCATGGAATGCTTAGAAGACACGGGATATTGCACATTATGGGCACATCTTCCATGTAACATAAAGTTTTTCAACATTTATTACAGTAGTCATTTTTAATGTGTGTGTTTGGTTCTGTATATTGAAGAAATCCTTGACTTTTTAACTTATTCTCTAACCGTGTCTACTTTGCCATTAAGCTAAGTAATGAGATACTGAAATTTCTACCAAGATATTCAAATTAATATAAGTATTGCTGTTAATCCATGTGGTTCTGTATGAATCAAATTCATTTGCTTTCTTTTTCTCCCGTCTGCTTTCTTCCTGTCATAAATTATTTTATAATTAAGATTATTTTAAAATGACCAATGATTCATTATTACCAATATATTTTTCTTCCAATAATGCCTTTTAAAAAATAGATGTTATATCATCTCTTCAATATCAATTATAGTTTCTTTCACTATTTTTGTATAGTCAAATAACTAAATTGTCAGGTGTAAAGTCATCTATTTGGTGAATTTACTGACTCTCATAGTGATAGATTTCTCATGCAGTCCTTGGTTCTCTGGTTATCTTTGTATTCCAGAGTCAGTGTTTGATTCTTTGAGATGCCTGCTCCTTTCTTGGACAGCTCCCTCAGGGGATTGTGGGAAAGCACAGGGCATGTTTTGTTGGTGAGTTTGTTTGTACCCAGTCTTCTGCCCCGCTGCTCCACGCTCCTCCTGGAGGTCACTAGCCACACAAGGGACTGCTCTTTGATTTTACAGCCTACATACAGTCATCAGTTTATCCTGACAGCCAACTGCTACTGCTCAGTGCTCAGCACCACTGGAGACTTATTTTCCCTTCAGAAAGAAATGACACGACTACTGATCCCCATGGTCCAGAAGCCACAACCACTTCTTGCATTCATTGACTTGAAAGTTGCAGCTCCCTGGGAATCATTCCCACATCTGCAGCAGTGTCGCCTGCTTTCTTTAGAGCTTGCCTTTTCTACGGTGTTCTGCATGAATCAAAGTCATCAGCTTTCCTTTTTCCTCATCCGCTTTCTTCCAGTCATGAATTATTATTGTTTTATAATTAAGGTTATTTTTAAAAACATCCTTTAAGCCATTTTAAAAGACAAGGGGAAGCACATGCATTTGTTCAGCCAACGATATTTATTCAATAACTTTCTTTTCACTTTCCATTGAGCTAATTCAGCAATAAAAATATTTTCTTAAAAATAGTTATTTTTACCTAAAACATGAAAGTCACAAATACTGAATATAATCCTCGTGAAATAATCTCATGGAAGACAAGCAAGCCAAGTCAGTTTTGTTTTGCTTTGTTTTGTTTTTTGTGCTTGATATTAAACTATCATCTCTTAGCTTTAAATCCACTCTTCATTTTTTGTGATTCTGAGGCTGGGACTCTGCAAAGCAGCTTTTTGCTAGCTAGATCACTTTTAGGCTCTGGCAATAGGGTGCACTAGAGAGAGAGTAGATTAGAGGAGAGAGAAGATATACTTTCCTACCAGATTATTTCCTGGTCCTGTTTTGATTCCTATTTCTTTCAGCATCACCCAAAAAAGACTCTCCCTGCCAGTGGCTGGTTGTTCCAGTAGTACAGTTAACACCAGTGAGATTTTTAAAATTTTTTAAAAAATATTTTTATTAAATTTAGAGAGAGGAAAAGGGGCGGGCGGGGGGAACTGGGAGAGGAGACAGACAGACAGACAGATGTTAGAAAGAAACATCAATTGGTTGCCTCCCATACGTGCCCTGACCAGGGAATGAACCTATCGTCTTTTGCTGTATGGGTATAAGGGATGACACTCCAACCAACTGAGGCACATTGGCTAGGGTCCCGTTAGATTTTTTCCCGGCACTCACAGGACCAACATCGCTGTGGCCCCTCCTCAGAGGATCCCCTGTAGCCAACTGGCGCCCCTTCCACCGAGGTTTGGTTCCCAGTCCCATGCAGCACCTCTGTGGCATTCCCGAAGCACTAACAACTGCTCCTCAGAAACCTGAGTCCCAGTCACTGAGTCCCTCATCCAAGCTTCTAAATTTTAATAATCCTAGCCTCTCTTCTTTATTCTCTTAGCCCTAGGGATGCTCTATGAAACCTTACTGCTCTCTTCTCCATATTTTCAATTCCTGGCTGACAATTCTTTAAATTAAATTCTGTTAAATTGCTGTAGTTTATATCTCTTAAAAGGAGTCTGAATAATACACTTCCCTACCTATCATGGCTGGCTTCAAGTGCCCAGTGCGACTTCCATCTTATTGTCAAAACGACCATTGATTTTATTACAGGTGCAAAGTACTATACACTATCAATATATTTTATTAAAACATTTAGAAATATGGTTAAAGGAAAATGGACATAAGTCCCCTCTTTCTCATAATTTCAAAGCAGTTAGTTCAAGATGATTTTGAAAGGAAAAATAAAAGCATTTCCTTGAGATTTTTCTCCAAAAAAGTTTTTCTGAAGCCCCAAAGCACCAGAATTCTCACTACACGTCTTGGAAATCTTTTGATTCCAGTAGACTAATCACAGGTTACTTTTGTACCGAAGCCTGGGAAAGCATTAATGTCGAACAATAGATGCTGTTAATTGGAGTATAATTGTGACTAGGTTTTTTTAATTTCTTTAACTGTTGATCCAAATTATATATCCTCTTTTAAATATATACCATAAGAAGGCAGAAATGATTAGCTATTTATTAGGTTTATGTTTTGTTTTTGTAATAAAAAATCAGTGGATGCTAACTGGCTATTAGTAGACAAAAAGATAGAAGGGAGGAAAGCAAAAAAGACCTCCATATGGATTAGGAGCTCTGGCATTCATCCTTCTGCCCTAAGTAATTAAATATCTGAGTCCAAATATACACTCCCTGTGCAGCTCACCCTCAGTAGGTAGCCACATAACCAGTTTTAATAATCAATAACTCCAAATCAAAAACAACAAAACATATAAAAGACCTAGACTTTCTCATAGTTGACTTTACAACAAGTAACAAATAGATAGATATTTTGATACCAGGACCACCTGCTTCATGAAAAACCTAGCTTTTAACATTAATGGCTCATTCAGGCTTGGCAGCCATGAAAATATGGTCAAAAGCCATGTCTTTCTAAGGTAATCACAGAATTAACAAAAGTGTCTTGACTATTAGTGCCAGTACCATCAATGTACCCAACTTCTGACTGGAAAGCTGCGTGTGGAGCAAAGGTGTAAGAGAATGACCATTATATTTTGTCAAGATGATGATTTTGCCACAAGATTGGAACTGCTAGGCCACCTTTGAGAATCCCCTAAATTAACACTAGGGTAGCAATGCAGCGTCAACACAAACATTGCTTCTAGGCTGAGCAAGTGAAGGTGAAAAGCTTATGTCTCCCTGTTCCATATAAAAATGACCAGGCAACATATCCTGACAGAACACTTCACTAGAACTTTATCTCTAAAAATATGTTTGTCCTTCCAACCAAGAACCATCTTTTTTTGTTATCCCAAGAAAACCAAGTAATTTTAAACTTAAGATTTACTCAAGGACCTAAACACTCCACAGAAAACTACCTCCCCAAAAATCATTCTTCGAAGGTTGCTAGAAGTTTTTAAAATGTGGACATTGAAACGTATTTTTAATCAGCTTCACAGTTATCACTGTTTTCTGGTAAGAAGAAACCAGTGATATGATTCTGTGCATTGATATATAATCCCACCAAAATGCTCTCATCAAAAATTATTTTAAAATTTAATTAAAAATATATGTATTAACTTGAGAAATATTTTTTTAAGCATCTTTTACACGGTACTCACTCTTCTAAGAACAAGATGAGATTTCTCAGAGATTACAAAGACAAATAAAAAGTTACCTTCTGTTTTTTTCTAACATTATTGGAAATTCCAACTGTTTGTCTTTTTAGTATTGTATGATGGTCAGGTAGTGAGAGGAACAGCAATTAATAGTTGGAAAAGAGTGAGTTCCTACATTGTAAATACTTGAAACCATAGCAGAGAGGAGTGTCCCATCAAAGCAAATTCAGCTGACCTGACTTTAACAATTTTTTCAGTACAATCACCGTGTTCTATATTTGAATTAAATGCACATATTTTACTACTTTTTTACTTACCACTATTGCTTGTATCCCACTTCATTCCTTCGATTCACTTTTCCTCTTGCTGGACTCCATCCTTTTATAGTTCTCTCGGCAAGAATCTGTAAGAAGTAAATTCTATTAGACTTTGTCCAAAGCTTAATTTATACTTACTCCTGCAAGATAACATTGTCTTGTATAGAGCCTCAGGTTATGATTCCTTTTCCCTCAGCATTAAAGATTTTATTTATTCTATTGCTTTCTATTATTAACCTTAGGGGGAAATATTCAGTGTAATTGTTCAATTCAAAAGATAAGATCTCAGAAGCTTCTTATTTTTATGAGGTCCCACTTGTTTATTCTTTCCTTTATGTCCCTTGCTTTAGGAGACATATCAGTGAAAAAATTGCTGCGTGGGATATCTGAGAGTTTCCTGCCAATGTTCTCCGCTAGGACTTTGATGGTGTTGCGACTTGTAGTTAAGTCTTTTATCCATCTTGAGTTTATGTTTGTGTATGGTGTCAGCTGATGATCCAATTTCAATTTTTTGCATGTAGCCGTCCAGCTCTCCCAACACCATTTGTTGAAGAAGCTATTGTTGCTCCATTTTATGCTTCTGCCCCCTTTGTCAAATATTAGATGTCCATAGAGACCTGGGCTTATTTCTGGGCTTTCTATTCTGTTCCACTGGTCAATGGATCTGTTCTTGTGCCAGTACCAGCTTGTTTTGAGTATGGTGGCTTTGTAGTAGAGTTTGATGTCCGGTATTGTGATCCCTCCTACTTTGTGTTTCTTTCTCAAAATTGCTGCAGCTATTCGGGGTTGTTTATGGTTCCATATAAATTTTTGAAATGTCTGTTCTATTTCTGTGAAATACGTCATCTGCACGGCGAAAGAAAACATCAGCAAAATGAAAAGGGAGCCAACCATATGGGAAAATATATTTGCTAATGATACATCAGGTAGAGGTTTGATCTCCAAGATATATGAAGAACTCACTCGACTCCACTCCAAGAAGACAAACGATCCAATCAAAAAATGGGCAAAGGACCGGGGCAGATGCTTTTCCAAGGAGGAGATACAGAGGGCCCAGAGACATTTGAAAGGATGCTCAGCATCACTAGCCATCAGAGAGATGCAGATCAAAACCACCATGAGGTACCAACTCACACCGGTCAGAATGGCCATCATAAACAGATCCACAAACAACAGGTGCTGGCGAGGGTGTGGAGAAAAGGGAACCCTAGTACACTGTTGGTGCGAAAGCAGACTGGTGCAGCCATTGTGGAAAGCAGTGTGGAATTTCCTCAGAAAGCTGAAAATGGAACTGCCTTTTGATCCAGTGATTCCCCTGCTGGGACTATACCCTGAGAACACCAAAACGCCAATACAAAAGAACCTATGCACCCCAATGTTCATAGCAGCACAATTTACTATAGCCAAGTGTTGGAAGCAACCTAAATGCCCATCAGTAGATGATTGGATCAAAAAGTAATGGTACATATACACAGTGGAATACTACGCAGCAGAAAGGAAAAAAGAACTACTAAACTTCGCGACAGCATGGATGGAACTGGAGAGCATCATGCTAAGCAAAATAAGCCAGGGGGCGAAAGACAAATACCCTATGATCTCACCTATAAGCGGAACCTAACCAACAATGCAAAGATGCAAGAAAAATATGACCAGCAACACTGAAAGGAAAAGAAATCAACAGAGACAAGAGGGGCGGGGGGGCGCAGGTAAAGGGAAGGGAAGGGAAAAGTCAAGGAACATATAACAAGGACTCATGGACAAAACCAAAGGGGAATTGCTGAGGGAGGGAAGGAGGGATGAGGCAAGGGAAAGAGGTGGGGGAGAGGCAGAGACAAATGTATTTAAAAAGTAAATAAATTTAAAAAAAAAAAGATAAGATCTCATTTCTTCAAATGTAGCGTCTTTTCCATTATAAATATATATCTATATATATTGCTTCCAGGATGAGCAGATATATATATATATATACACACATAAGTATATTTATATTTAGAACACATATTAGGTATATGCTGGAACTTTTCAGAACATTTCATGATTCAGGTCTAACTTCACCATTTTATACTCTGTTTTGTTCTAGGTCTTCTAATTTATTAATTATCTCTTTAATATGTTTGTCTATTAATTAAAAAATAACCATAGTTTTTAATTCCAAAATTTCTGATTGGTTCTTTTTTGTTTTCACTGTTCTGAAAAACAACTATTTGTATCTCATGGTTCCTTTTTCTTGATTTATGAATGATTTTTTGCTGGATAGAGTAATCTTTGATGTAGATGCTTGCCTTTCATGACTGTGAATACTTCTTTCCAGCTCCTTCTTGCCCATAAGTTTTCTTTTGAGAAATCAGCTCATAGCCTTATGGGAACTCCTTTGTAGGTCACTCTCCTTTTCTCTTGCTGCTTCTAAGATTCTCTCCTTATCTTTAAACTTGGGTGATGTAATTATGATGTGCTTTGGTGCATGCTTCCTGTTTTGGGATTCTCTGAGCTTCCTGTATTTGCATGTCTATTTCCTTGACCAGACTGGGGAAGTTCTCTTTCAATATTTTTTCAAATAAGGTTCCAATTTCTTGATCTTCCTCTTCTCCTTCTGGCACCCTTATGATTCAGATGATGGAACATTTAAAGTTGTCCTGGAGGTTTCTAAGCCTCTCCTCATTTTTGGAATTTTTGTTTCTTCATTGTGTTCTAGTTGAATGTTTAGCTCTTCCTTCTACTCCAAATCATTGATTTGAGTCCCAGTTTCCTTCCCTTTAGTGTTGGTTCCCTGTATATTTTTCATTATTTCACTTTGCATAGCCTTCACTTTTTCCTCCATTGAGACCGTACTCATCCATTTCTGTGAGCATCCAGATTGCCAGTGTTTTGAACTGTGCCTCTGATAGGTTGGCTATCTCTTCATCACTTAGTTCTATTTTTGGAGCTTTGATCTGTTCTTTCATTGGGGCCATATTTCTTTGTGTCTGCATCTGTTACATTAGAAGGGGTGGAGCCTTAATTTTCTGCCAGGGTGGAGAAACCCAGGTCGCTGCATTATGGTGCTGTATGCGGGGGAGGAGTCCAAGAGGGAACAATGCCCTTGCCTGGCTCACAGCTGGCTTTCAGTCACTCTCCCCACAACCCAAAAGCAAATTGGGCCCTTCTGGTGCTGATTCCCAGGTACATGGGTTTGTGTATGTTCTAGGACCCTTGGGGATCTCTCCAACGAACTCTCCTGTGAGGCAGGAAGTTTCTCCAGCTGCTGCATTCCTCACAGATTTTTATAGCCAGAGGTTTGGGGGCACTTTGTTTTCCCCCGCTGAATCACGTGGTCTGTCTCACTCCCCAGCTGTTTCTCCCAGTTTATCTGCATGCAAACGTGGGGCCACCCGGTCCTCTAGCCACTGCCTTGCCACATGTCCTCTCTGCCCTAGCTGCCCATTTCCACCCCTCCTACCAGTCTGGATAAATGTTTTCTCCTTAACTCCTTGGTTGTCAGACATCCATACAATTCAGTTTTCTGGCAGTTCTGGTTATTTTTTTTAATTGGTTGTTGTCCTTTTATTTGTGCAAGGAGGCCTAGAGTATTTTCAATTCTTTCTTTATAGATTGTGCCTTTGGTGTTATGTCTAAAAAGTCATATGTTTATGACTTTTATTCAAGGTCATCTAGATTTTCTCCTATGTTTTCCCCTAGTACTTATGTACTTTTGCATTTTACATTTAGGTCTGTGATCTATTTTGAATTAATTTTTGTTAAAGGTGTAAGGACTGTGTTTAGATTCTTCTTTTTTTTTCCACATATGGATGTCCAGTTGTTCTAGTACAATTTGTTGAAAAGACTATCTTTTATTCATTATATTGCCTTTGATCTTTTGTCAAAAATCAGTTGACTATATTTATGTGGGACTATTTCTGGGCTCTTTATTCATTTTCACTGATTTATTTGTCTATTCTTGCACCAGTATCAATCTGTCTTGATTACTATAGCTTTATAGTAAGTCTTAAAGCAGAGTAGGTTAGTCCTCTGTTCTTCTTTAATATTATGTTGGCTATCCTGAATCTTTTGTCTTTTGACATAAACTTTAGAATAAGTTTTCCAATATCCACAAAATTACTAGCTGGGATTTTGATTGGGATTGCATTGACTCTGTAGATCAAAATGGAAAAACTAACCTCTTGAAAATATTGAGCCTTTTTATTCATGTAATACATGGACTATATCTCTATTTATGCTTGGATTTTTTATATTAGCGTTTTTTAGTTTTCTTACATTACTTGTTATATTTTGTTATATTTATATCTAGGTATTTCGATCTGTGCTAATATACATGGTATTTTATTTTTAATTTCAAATTCCACTTGTTTACTGATGGTATATAGGAGAGCAATTTCCTTTCATATATTAACCTCATATCCTGAAAACTTGTTGTAATTGCTTATTAGTTTCAAAGATTTTTTTTAACTCTTTTTTAAAAATCATGTTTATTCTATTAACAGTTGTCTCAATTTTTCCCCCTTTGCCCTCCTCCACCCATCTCACCCCACCCCTCACTCCCACAGTCAATTCCCACACTGTTGTCCATGTCCATGGGTCATTCATACATGTTCTTCATCTAGTTCCTTCCCCTTCTTTCCACCATTGTCCTCCTTCCCCATCCTCTATGATCACTTTCAGCCTGCTCCAGGTTTCCATGCTTATGATTTATTTTGTTCATTAGTTATTTTGTTGAATAGATCCCAGTTACAGGAGAGATCATATGGTTTTTGTCTTTCACTGACTGGCTTATTTCACTTAGCATAATATTCTCCAGTTCCATCCATGTTGTCTCAAAAGGTAGGAGATCTTTATTTCTTTTTTTTTAAATGCAGATTGATTTCATTTATTTTTTTAAATGTCAAGATCCATTATAAAATATTAAAAAATTTAAATCCACTATAAAGTCTCAGCAGTTAAAATGACATGACACCAGCACAGAAATAATCAAGTAGATCAATGAAATAAAATGAGCATTCTAGAAACAAACATATATTTCTAACAATGTAATATATGTTTAAATTGATATTTCAAATCAATGGAGAAAATAAGGCTTATTCAACAAATAAGG